GCTTCACACAGAGGGGTGAACTGAGCCCTAAAGTAATGTTTATAGTAGTTTATAATAGGTTATTATTTTTATAGAGTAGTAATTGTACTTTGCACTTAAGATCACCAAACAGCAGATAGCTTAGACTGTGATCTTCTCAGTTAGGGCCTGAGGGTGAAATCCTGACACCTCAGAAGTCAGTGGCAAAACTCCCATTGACTTCTGTGGGGTCAGGATTTCGCTTATAGTCTGCAGCCCTTACTCATTTTAAAACAACGAGGAGTCCTTGTGGCACCTTAGAGACTAACAAATTTGGGCATAAGCTTTCGTGGGCTAAAACCCAATTTTATGCCCAAATAAATTTGTTAGTCTCTAAGGTGCCACAAGGACTCCTTGTTGTTTTGGCTGATACAGACTAACACGGCTGCCCCTCTGAAACTTGTACTCATGTTAAGTGTCACATTGACTTTAATGGGACTACTTGTGCCAGTGAGGTCTACTCACTATGAGTGTGGGTAGCAGAAATGGGCCTTTATTATTCAAATTCCTTGTTCCCTTGCTGTGCAGATCACATTTTCGTCTGATTCTGCCACATTTATTCATGGTGGGAAATACCCTACTCATGAAAAAATAGTGTCTGCTTCAGGAATAAGATACTACTCAGCTTGAGTGAAGGTGGTGTAACTCTTTTTTAATCCGAAAAAAGTGACATGATTGATACAAATGTGTATTTATTAGCTCTCCTGTTATTGATTCCCATCTCTAGTTCTCTTGCTGGAACAATATTCTGAATTTCTCTTGTGTTAGTTGTGAATATTAGGAGGACAAAATGGCTGTCCACTGTCTTTTCATTTATGATTTTTCTAGTACTGTATTGTACTTTTATTTGCAATCTTCCATCCTACTGCTTTTTATTGTGGGAGCATGCTGATGAGAAAAACTTTTAAAATTTGCAATCACCTTCTGAATGGTTCAGAACTTGAGAGGAAACTGGTCATGTTCTCTCATACCGTCCCTTGAAGGCTTTGTAGAGAGGTAGATATTTTTCTCCCTGATTTGTGAAAAATCTTTCCATTTGTTGAAATCCTTATAATTTTGCTTTTTTTCAGTGTATTAAGCCTTTATAGGAATGTTTGACTCATATTCTGTGTTACATTTAGCAGCTGGAATGTTATGCTTAAATTCCTATTCCTAAGGAGTTGAACAGTTTTTGTTTATTAAGATGGTATAAGTGATCCTAGTGCTTTTATTGGCAATGGAAAGCACACTTTATTATTCAAAGCAAACTAGTGATTTGAAGGAACACACACACAAAAAGTAACTACTGTGGCGCCCTTTTGAACCTTGAAACATTTACCAGCAAACTTCCTTTCCTTTCCTTATGATTTGCTTCTCAGGTAAACCTTTCTGGAAGCTTTGTGACACCGAGAGAAATATTTCTTACTCTGGTAAAATTAAATAAAGTACTATAAACTCTTCAAGAGTGTAGTGACTTTCAACTCAGTATTACTAATAGCATTATATTTCACTTCAGTAATGAGAGATACATCATTTAAACTTAACTTATCCTGTTTTCCCCCTTTGTCTTACATAAGTTTCCATTTTTTAATAAACCATTAAGCATTTACCATATTCATGTATTCTAATAAATATATTTTATTGAGAAACAATTGTGAAAACAGATTAAACTTCAGAACATTTGTGTTCCATGAGTAGTTTCAGAATGTTACCATTCTAACCTGTTGTTTTTGTTCAAATGCTAAACATTATTATGCTTCTAGTCCATCCTTTTGATTGTTCTTAATGACAGAGCAGAAATGAAGTATCTTACAAAGTTAAACCTATCTAAGTGCGCAAAGTTCGCATATATTTTCATAAATGACCATCACTGATGACACAGTGGTCAGAAGCAAGTACCAGTAAGTCTGTATGCCTGTATACAGTACTCAGAGATATGATAGGAATGTGTTCTTAACCCAGGGTTGTGAGTTCAATCCTTGAGGGGGCCACTTAGGGATCTGGGGCAAAAAATCAGTACTTGGTCCTGCTAGTGAAGGCAGGGGGCTGGACTCGATGACCTTTCAAGGTCCCTTCCAGTTCTAGGAGATAAGATAGGATAGGATATCTCCATTTTGGAGGGTAAAAGTCCCATATGTTTTCATTTAGATAGCTTTCAGTAAGCATTTAAATCTTATTAAAGACCTTGCTACGCTTGATTTTGAACTATTAATTGGGATACATCATATTTGAAATATTGCCCTGTAATATACAGATCTTTTGTAAAGATTGAAGCTGGCAATTAAAATAAAAATTACACATTCAAAATGTAGCAAACTACTATATAAAACTGATTATCTGTATTAAGTTGGATGATAAGAGGGTCATTGTGTGACTTGCCAGGTTATTTTGTGCCTTTCGGTCACATGATATCAGAAGTGTTCCAACTAATGCATCTGTGCAACCTGATTTTCTGAAACATTTTATTATATAATATGGATAAATCTTGTACCATTTTATATTTGAAAATTTAGAACTGTCATCAGATTACTAATACTTGCTGGAACCTGAGAGCTGTCTCCAGTGATCTTCTGAGCTCTCACATTGAAATCAGTGGGAGCTGAAGGCACTCAGAACCTGGCAGGATTGAATCCTTTGCACATAAAAAGGAATAAGATTTCTTAAATTTTTCTGGAACCAAACCTGCAAGGTGCTGAAAACCATGGTAGCTGAGAGCGCTCAGCACTCTGTAAGATTTGGCCCTAAGGTTTTTCTATTGGGAGTTGTAGATCTCAGTGTTGGTTCTAGCCTTCTGCCAATGATCCAGGAGTTCTCTCACTTCATCTTCCAGGACCTTTTGGGATGGGGTAGCTCTTAATCCTTGTATTTTCTCCTCTTTATTTTGATTGCAGTCATAACAGCCAAATTTTGGTAGGAAGGCAGGTTCAGTGTGTTTTTGCAAATCATTGTCCTTTTCATTTCATGAATGGGGTAAATGGGTGTATACTAAGACTCACCAATCTAGATGTACTTTAAATGTTGACCAGTCAGTGTAGATTTTTTTTCTTTAAGAGCTCTTACTTGGAGAGGGCTTAGATTTTTTTTTATCTGTAATCTTTATTTGGCTTCATAGAACCAGTATGTATAGAGGAAAGGTAGATAATTTGATATTGGACAAATCCTGAATTTTCTGTGGTCTGATTCATTTACAAATCTGTCTATATAATCTACGTAAGGAATTTCTGTTTTATAAAGCTCTGTTTTCTATAGTGCCAGAATGAAGTCACAAAAAATATGTCCCATGTTAAGAAGTTATCCAGTTATTTACGTGCAAGCCATTACTGCCCCTGTACTGTGTAAAGTGTCTTAGGATACATTATTAGAGTTGGAATGTTTAGCCGATAAAGCACACATTTTTCACTTTCATGGCTGCCGTTCTAGTCTAACCTGCAGTCCTAATTGAAATGAGTTTAGTGGTTTGAGCCCAGTCCCTAGTGAACAATAGCCCACCTTACAAAAACACCAAGCGCACACAAAGCTGTCAGTTTCTGCTCAAGAGACACTCGGGAGTGGGCAAACATGGAGGCAGAATTACCTCACACCCTCAAGAGTGATTTTTCCAGGTGAAGATTGAGGTCATTCTCAAGGAATAGGGAAAAGCTTGCATTGTGTTTCTAGTATTGCTACTATAGGCTCAGTGTTCACTTTGGACAGAGAATTTGTAATTTGGGATTTTTTAGAAAAGATTTGTTCTCATCTGAGCTCACCTGAGGTACATTTACAATTTACATGTACGATAGTCTGCTATGACTTGCATATGAGTAAGGATTATCATCTGGGAATACAGTAGAAATAATATATACTATGCAGGAAATTCTGGCCCCATTGCAGTCAAGGGGAGTTTTGTAATTTATTTCATATATACACCTCATATATTTGAAGGTGGTATCCATGTGATAAATTGGAGCGACGTGATAAATATATTTATTTATGCTACTTATCACATTCTTTGACCTTTCAAAGCCCTGAAAAGTTTCAAGAAGCTGCTGTGTTTTAAAATCAATCTGTCACGAAATTGTTTATTCCCTCTCCCCACCAAATCAGGGCTTGAATTATGCTGGTTTACACCAGATCAGCAGACTCACACTTTTTTTTTTTTTAGGCTTCCATTTTGTTCTCCAGAATGTCAGGTTTTTTTTTTTTTTTTTTTTTTTTTTTTTTTTTTAGTAAGAGCTTGTCTACACAGTAGACTGGAACTGAAGTAGTTATATTGGTTTTAATTAATATCTTTAGTTATTTCAATGGAAGTTTGTGCGAGGACCCTCTTATTTTGGAATAAGAGTGCTTTATTTTCATATAATTTATGTTGTTAAAAATTAGGCTTGCACCAAAGTAATTAGAGATGTTGCATTACATTTGACTTGGTTACTTTAGTTCCAGTTGCTATGCAGACAAGCCCTAAATCTCTAGTTTTTATGATTGCAGGGGGAAAAAAACACTTAAAAGTGTGAAATGAATGAAGTTTTTTTCTGCCTGAATCTGCAGAGAGCCTGAAACAATATATTTGAAAAGTGTGAACTACCTTGTTTTTCAATGGAATAATAGTTCAGATACCCAATAATAGTAATTTAAAGGTCATCACTGTTAACTATTTCACTGTTGTCAAAACATGGACTAAAGGAGAAGGAAGGATCACAAATCTGCATCATCTGCTGGGAATAGTGGGAATAATCTAGGGATGGGAATGCCCTTTGGCAGCAGATTACCAATCTCCTAGACTTTTGCTTCTTTTTGCTTTTTAGTTTTGTAGTCAAATTGCAGAAGTCTGTTTTTGGTTATCAGTGTATTTTTAAAAATCATTTTGGATATTTTTGTAAATTAAAAACTGAAATCAGCCTGAACCTATACAGCTGGTTCTATTGATAGCAAAGTATAAATGTGAATCAGTTGTGTATACTTGTTGCATTTGTGGTTGCCTTTAGTAAATCTCTGTCATTGTTTTACTTCCTCTTTCCCTCGCCAAGATTTCTTTTGACCTAGCAGAATATACTGCTGATGTTGATGGAGTTGGCACTTTGCGGCTTCTAGATGCTGTTAAGACCTGTGGCCTTATCAACTCTGTGAAGTTCTACCAAGCCTCAACCAGTGAACTTTATGGGAAAGTGCAAGAAATACCACAGAAGGAGACTACCCCTTTTTATCCCAGATCTCCATATGGTGAGTGTTTGTGTGTGTGCGCCTGCGCCCACTCTGTTCCTCATGTCTCAGGGCTGAAGTCATTTGGGTATGAGATTAAAATAAAGATAGAACAAAAGCGACTAAACATGTTCAGAAGCATACCTTTATAAATTACTAAATAAAAAGTATTTGCTGCCATTGCCTGAGGGTTGGAAATTACCATCTCACTTCACAAAACCTTGTTCATTCAGATCTGGAGCGGAGAACTCTTTAAACGGGTGAGAGGGAGGGGTGATTCCTTCTTAGTGAAGAGGTGTAAGATAGCACTGAAGTGATAAGGTTTCATTTTTTTTGTTGCCTAAATGAAAATTTCCCAAGAGCTCACTTCTCTCATGAACTAACTTGAAACACTTATTAAAGCAATGTGCATAGAAGACTATAGTGATAAAATTTCAAATCAATTGAAGTGTTAAGGCACCAGATTTTCTTTTATTCCCCCAAAGTAATTTTTTTTATTAGCAGAGGTCACCACTGTGGCATATTTCACACGCTCTGACTGTGTTAATTATATTGTAAAAGAAAAAGTGCTATGCATAGGAAAACAAGTGAAAGGTGCCTTAACACTTCCTAGCCAGGACTATGGCTTTACAGAAAGGAGTGTTTTCTCATTCAGTTGCTGTTTATTGGGCTGGCTTTTTTTATGGTGAAATATGACACACTGAGAGAATTAATCAAACTCTAGTTCATCTTTCTATTAAGAAATGCATTTATCTCACTGTGTGTGTAAGTATATGGGTGTGATTGTATATGTAATATTTAAATTATTTTTGTAGGAGCAGCCAAACTGTATGCCTACTGGATTGTGGTGAACTTCAGGGAGGCCTACAATCTCTTTGCTGTGAATGGCATTCTCTTCAATCATGAGAGTCCCAGGAGAGGTTAGAAAATCTTTGAAAAACTCTATTGCCACCCTATTGTACATCTGAACAGGAAAAATGGAGCAGTATAGCCACAGGTTTAATTTAAATTTACCAGTGTTCTGAAGCAGGGATGTCAAGGGATTGCCTGCTTGATGTGTTTAGTTGGCCCCTGTGATAGATTGAGTCTGCACAGTGCAAGTTTTCATTTTCAAACTTAAATTTCCATTTCTAGCCCTTTTGGTATAGGAAGTAGTGCTCTTCATATGAACCAATGTAATAGTGTCCTACACAGATTGAAACAACATCTGTAAACTTTCTTATTCATCCTGATGGGTATGGAAACTCTAAAGCCTAAAACAGACATTTTAAGGGGAAGGTTTTCTTTAGGGTAGGCAATTGCACTTAACAGACACAGTTTCAAGCACTTGGGCATTGCATTTGCACACAAATACTATAAGGGGTAGGAATAGTAGTATTTTTAAATTCATAAGATATATTTATGCTGGTGTGCATGGCAATATATAGATTGTAAACCAGCTGCAGTATTTTCTGTGAAGGTTCTCACACATAGCTTTAAAATGCCTTTCCATTTGATTCCAGTTAGCCTTGATAGCAATGCCAGGGAACAGAATACAAATGATCTTATGTTCCATTTAATAAACCCTTTCCAGTGCATCATAAACAATTAATATTTGTTTTAAGTGTAAGTTATAAACCACAATTAGTTTAATTCCCTCTCATCTTATACTGGTGAATTTCCACTAATCGTAAACTAGTAGAGCTTTAACTATGCACTGTAAATGAAAGCTGAATTAACACATGAAAGTAGCTTCTCACTTCAGAAACCTTTTCTTGCAGCATGTTTATAATGAAAAGTAAATTCAAATGATTCTTTCAGTGATTTCAGACGAGTATTTCACTTGTGTGTGTGCGCCCAGCGCACTAAAGCTGGAGAACTTTTCCTAGCAGTATCCACAGTGTCTGTAGACCTAGCCCCTTCCCTGGCTATCTAAGGGTGGCTTCGCTATGGACACCCCCCGCCCCGAACCCCACAGTTCCTTCTTATCGCCTATGGCTAGGGTTAGTTCGTTCTGTGTGGTGTTTTACCTCACACTTTCAGTATCAGTCTTCTGAGATTTCTGGTTGTATATAGTTGTCAGTTTGTTACTGTGGTTAAATAGTACCTTTTTGTTTAGTTTTAGTTTTTAGTTAGGTAGTTAGCGTCTCTAAAAGTGGTGCCCTCGCCAAGGTTTAAGCATTGTTCAACGTGTGGGGTGGCTCTTCCCAACAGTGACTCCCACCTGAGGTATTTGCTGCATCTGGGAGAAGGGCACATTAAAGAAAGGTGCTTCCTCTACAAGTCATTCAAGAGAAGAATGCAGGTGGTGAGGGGCTTGTGCCTGAAAGCAGCATCTCTTGAAGCAGGCTATTAAGCTCACTTTGGCACTGGGGGACTCCGCTGATTGATCGGCCCCACAGTCTCCTTTGGTGTCATCAAATGACGTTGCTCTGGGTTTGAGGACTGGTGCCTCCTCTAAGGGGAAGAAGGGTCATTTGCCTTTCCCTGATCCTCTGAGAAAGAGAGCCCAGAAGATGAACTGAGACCATTCCAGGATTCAAGGAGATTCCTCTTCCTCTCCTAAGAGGATTGCTGATGGCACTGTGGTTCCACTGGCATGTGGGATGCAGCTGGTCCATCTAACTGCTCCTCGGTACTGCATCTTGACCAGTGGGTGTCTCTACTATCAACTCTGGTACCGACTGTGGGGCATCCGTTGAGTCTAGTAACAGCGACATTGGTGTTGGCACTAACTGTCATATGAGGACTTCCAGGGTTCCTTGGGATATGGTTTAGGGGCATCTTCCTCCACTTCCCCCCACCCCCAGCACTGCTTTTGAAAGAATTTTAGACTGTCTCTGGATCGCTGTTGGTACCTGACAGGCACTGCTCCTATAGTAGGGAAAGGAGCTGCTAGCTCAGTACTGACTGGGGATCTATCTGTATTCCCACTGGCCTCCTTGAAACTCTTTGGATATCCCTCAGTCCATGAAATCCCGCTCTTTAACGCAGTCCAGGGTAAGCTCACTGGTCCTGGTTGCCTCCATTTCAGAGGCTGATGTCATCCCTCCTGAGCTGGTTCAGCCTGAGGCTCTTGTACAAGAGCTGGTTCCCTTGTAAGAGCCTCCATTAGAATCACATCCTGCTTCATCATCACCGGAGTACGGGCCTCTGCTTCTCCTGTGCCTGAAGATTTTAAGGCATATCAAGACCTTCTGAAGTTTATGGCCTCCGCCTTGAGCATCCCCACTGAGTTTGTACAGGAGAACACGTGTAAGTTTTGGATGTTCTGCTGTCATCAGCTCCGGGGAGGTGGCTCTCCTGATAAATGAAGATCCCTTTGAGCCTGTGAAGTCCCTATGGAACACTCCAGCTTCATTGCTTCCCACTGCGAATCATTCTGAGAAATGTTATGTTCTTTGAGTGCTTCTATTCCCACTCAGCTCCTAACTTTCTCATGGTAACTGCAGAAAATGACAGATCACAGCAAGGGAGGTATATGTCCACATCTAAGGACAAGAAATCAAAGAGGCTAGATTTGGTGGGAAGAAAAATTCATAACACTTCATCTTTACAGATGCACATCGTGAACAAGTAGGTACTGCTATACATATATGACTTTTGTCAAAATGGGACACTGTATCCAAATTCATGGATAAGCTGCCAGAAACCTCCAGGGAAGAATTTAAGGCGTTCATTTTGGAGGGCTGTATTGTGGCCAAAACTTTGTTGCAGTCAGCTTTGGACATGGCAGATACTTTGGCCAGAGTTATGGCTTCAGCTGTGTCCCTGAGGAGGGCTTCATGGTTGCAGAATTCTGATATAGCTCTAGATGTGCAGCAAACTACAGAGGACTTACTTTTTCGTGGTCGGTTTTTGTTCTCAGACAAAACTGATGAGATCCTGCATTCGTTTAACGACTCCCAGACTTTATGTTCATTAGGAGTTTATATCCTGGCTACAAAGAGGTGCCACTAAGGCAGTCAGCAGCAATATCGCTCACAGCGTTTCTTCCGACCGCCCTCCTTCCCTGAGAAAGCAGGACTTCCCCAGGAAATCTCATGTCCCAGAGAGGAACATCTTGTGGCTCTAATTTTAGCCACTCAGCTCATCATAAACCAGCACTGAGCAAGCAGCCATTTTGACTTTTGACTTTCATCTGGAATGGTGTGTGAAAGGAACTCTTCGTTAAAAAATACTCAGGTAATCAGGTGGATTGATTTTAAATCAGAGATTTAAAACATCAATTTTAATTGTGTATTGAATTCGTACTTTTAGTTATTTTCCTAAAGAAAAGGTTGATTCTTATTGGTTTCTAACCAGTGTTAATTTGCAACTAAATATAGTCTGAACACTAAATTTGGTACTTCTTTTTGCTAACCAGGAGGATACACTATATCTTTATATATTTATTTAAGCAGTTATGTAGTTTAACTTACATTTATTCAGATCCTTAAACTTTCTTTTTTTTATTATGTTAAAAATGCCAAATGACACATTTATTAGATACTAGATGGTTCATTTTTATTTCCAATTTGTGTCAAGCTCTGTTTGGATGAAAATTCAAATTCAATTAAAAATTCACAAACACAGGATTTTTTTCTATTAAATAAAACTACATTAAGTGTGCTGTATAACTAAGGAAAAATGGTTATCAAAACATGTTTTGCATTTAAAAACTAAGTGAATTATTAAATAGTTAAATTATAAATATTATATAAATATTATTACTCCACCTAGGGCATTTTCTAGATCATTCATTAGGGAAACATGTTTCTCTGACATCAGTCCAGGTGAAGCAGTTGTCATCACACAATTGTTGTATAGCCAGAGGGAAAGGATACAACTGCTCTTTTCTGTGACATCTCTCAGCCGTGAAGGAAACTGCTTGGTGTTAGATTGCAGGCTGCATTTGTCAAGGTACTTGTAGTCAGATTAAAAGAAAAAGAGGAAAAGAAAAGAAATCATGAAATTGAAAAGAGTGGGGGTAATCTTAGCCGTTGTATTCACTTTTATTTATTTTATTTGTGATTTGTTTCATATATTTGACATACTGTAATGCTTACTTTGGATATCTTTGTACTAGTGGTTTTGATTACCTTCTCCATGCCTCTTTCGCCTGTGTATCCTAAGAGGGCAGTAGTAGTATGGTGATATCTAATAGGAAGCCCTACAACATGGCAGCTCCCTCTACTGAGGCTCCCATAAGAAGAGCTGGCCATTTTCTTTAACATTTCCCCTTTCTGTTTGTTTCTCCAACTGGGGAGACAAACTGGAAGGCTCCCTCCTGTCTTCTGCATAAGTGGAGCCAGTCAGTATTTGGTTTTACTAAGCAGTCAGTTTTTATCTGCCCCATGAATGTTTGCTTTAGCTAGGTTTCAGCATGTAATGTATATGTTTCAACAAAGGTAGGCCAGTGAGAGGTGTTCTTTCAAGCCTCTGGGTAGCAAATATTAATGAAGTAGTTTTGTTACTCATTTCTAAATGGCTCCTTGGTGCACAGGGAGGAGAAGGCGTGTTGGGTCATAATAGTATTGAATGGCAAGGCACTATAGCCAGTGTAAAAGTAGTTGCTTCAGACAGTTGTGTGTCATTTAGCAGCCACGATGACTTCATGTATTTTTAGTTTGCATGTTTCAACAGAGCGAGCATACAGTGGCCTGAAGATATAAATTCTTACTGGCTCATTCTCCTTATTATGGGCCTGATCCTGAGAAGTGATCTGGGGAAGTGCATTCTTACAATAGCAGAGAGTCATACTTCAATAAGACTATATGTGAGCATAAGGGTCTGACTGCACAGACTGCTTTGTAGGAACAGTGACTATACTACCTGTCTAGGTGCATGTATGGGCCCTAACAAGGTAGTATCTGAATCAAATATTTTTTTAAAACATGAATCTGGTTAGTTTTACTGCTCAAGAAGCTGTTACTGGCTAGAACAAATCATAATATGCGCA